TTTGAAGAATCAAAATGTGTCCTACAGCTGTATTTTATTGAGCGAATCATCACTGCATACTCTGTGACCAATCTACCTGTAATTTGGTTCGCTATAAATAGAAATAATATTAAAATTTCATAGAAAATAACCTGGCATGTCGTATTTCCTGCATAATAGCAGAATTAATGAGAATGCATTAAGGCTAAAACATTGCCTTTTTGGGAAAAAAACATGTCATTGCTTACAAACATTTCACTCTATCAGTTCTGGTTATAGTGAAACCTGTGTAAAGGGACTGAGAAAGTTGTTCAGTTTAAATACAGATGAGTTTGCAGTATAGTGTTTTTGTTTTTAAGCCAGCCCATGGAGAATTAATGTGACTGGGAAAAAAAATGTATAGATTACTGTAGTAATATCTGCTATTCAGGGAACCATTATAATTTGTTATATTCCAACCACCAAACTGTCATATTTAGATGCTATTAAGCCATCCTCATACATGTATGACTTCTTATTAATACCAAAGAAACACTTACGGCTACATAGCTACATGCTATTTTAGTAAATTTGACTCAATGCACAAATTAACAGAATCTTAATTTAGCTAAAATGCCAACAATCTCATTGTGAGAATAAACTTTATTTTAAATTAGATACATCTTGAATTAGCAAAATTACCGTAGTTATTATAACAAGCTACATTTAGCCAAAAATGCATGTTTTACAGTACATATAGTTTTCTTACACAAACAGACCTACATTTTGTACATGTGTAGTTATAATTTAATGAATAATTTATTGGCCAAAAAAGAGCTTACTCACTGTGTCCCCCTTGAGCTATACTAACAGGGTAACAAAATATTAAACTGCATGGCGACACTTTCAAACAAACATAAAAAAGTACAGTACTCAACAACATGGCTGTAACTACATGTATGTGGCCGGATCAGCTGAGCTGAGCTGTCTGTTGGCAGTAGTAGTAGCTCTTCTGATAGCTGAACTGCGTTTCTGTGTTTGTTTTATGTTGACATCTACCATCATTCTGCCATTGACTGATATGCACACTTATAAATAAATTCATAATTAATAGAGTGATTACTTTGCTCTATTAAAAGAACTAATTTTATTGTAGGTACACATAAATTGTATGATTATTTTTGCATAACTGAAGATAATATAATATACATGTATAATGATGAAATATGATATGAAATTCAATTTCATGTTACAATGGTGATCTTCTTGCTTATATCAGAAAAATATACTCCTAATCGGGATAATGTTGTCTTATGTCATATGCATATGTATAATATAACTAAAAGCGAATTATACACAGTTATGTAATACTGTGACAAATATGTAAAGTCATGGCAATAATAAATGTTGTAGTTTTGTACATTAAACAATTTCAGATTCAGATGGGTAATTTTATTTTTCGCTCCTGTGTGTTGTGTCTGAATGCAATTTTAAGTGCTGAATCAGCGATGCTCATAATAGGAGAAAGCTGTAAATGGAATTATGAATAAATGTTTTACTTTATGTTGGTTTGTATAGAATTGCTTTGTTAAATATATGAATGGATTCCTGGAAAGTTACAGAAAAGCTTTTGAAGGAAATTTGTAAAAAGTAGATAGTTACTATACAATTAGAATCTATCAAACTGTGAATCGTAAATGTAACTATATTGTTTGCTGAGAAATGTCTCTTGTGCTGATGGTGATGAAATTATCCACATTAAAATAGTGTTAAGGGAGGGGGGTGATAATGGATATGGAGCAAATAAATGGAAATAAAAAAAAATAACACAATGCTTGTCTGTGTTTTGTGGCTATGCAATACTTGTATAACATTTCAATGTTCATTGCACGTACTGCTGTCTGCAGACTGCAAACCATGTTCTGGGTCGTTTAGTCATTAGAAATATGAATACTGTTGCTCTCTATTGACATTCAAAGCAATTTGTGAATGTATAATTCGATAAGAAGACGGTACTAACAGTATATATGTTTTCATATTAAGTTCCTATTTCAATAATACAGTTTATAATAAATACAACTGTTAGTTAGTACTGCACATGTGCTTCTAATAGAACAAATATAGTAATGCTTTATTATTTTAGTTCTTGTTCATAGGTTTAGGTGTTAAATTCAAGAGTATTTCTTATTGTAGACTATATTGTATATTGTAGACTGGCGGCCATTTTTTTTCTTGTGTGTTCTACCATTTCTTTGATACACAATCACTGATTTTGTTTAAATATGGTACAAGGACAGTACTTAATATTCTGTGCGTATTCTCCTAAATTTTCATCCATAAAGCTCAAATGTGTAGGGGTTGATTTGAACATCAAGCAGGATAGGGTACTGATATATCTCAGTTGGTTTTGTGATTTTATTCAAATTAACTTAAGGCTATATTCTTTTTATTTTCATGATTACCGATTTTTTCATGTTCTTACCAATATCTCAGACATGCTTTATTCAAAGTTGGTATAATGGTATATATATGCGCGTCTGATATAGGTTAAATCATGCCACCATTTCAGATAACAAACCAGAACATGGATATAGTGAAACAGATAAGTAAACACAAATAACCTGAAAACATCACGACTATTCTATATCAGTGGGTTAATCAGTTACCAACCAATGACACTTGACATTTTTTTTTTACAGGTTATCACATAATAATTCAAACTATTGCCCCTTCTGTTGAATCATAGCTTTAAAATGTTCAGCCTGCCTTATATATATATATATATATATGTATATGTAAAGATATTTTCACCATCTAGTTTTGTATGATAGAACTTGTTGAGTTTGGGTGTATTATTTGGGCGTGTTCATAACATGATACTGACATACATTGTATATTTGTTCCGTTGTTGCACTTTGACCATGTCAGATTAAAATGAATGCATCAACAGGTGTGTGGGACAGTTGAAACTGTTCGGTTGTGTAGATTCATGTATATTAATGTCTTTATGTAGTAAAATTCTGACCCACTTTCTGGTTTATTCAGCAGGGATTTTATTAACCATGTCCATTGGCATGACAAAACAAGAGAAAAACAAACAAACAATTACCACCTCTTTGATAATAGAACCTTGTGTAGTCACAACACGTGACTTGCATTTTGCTATGCTGACTACTAAGAGACAGACCATAATTTGGAGGCTCAAAAGGTATTATTTGTGATGCACAGAATAAATGTGAAACTGTTATTGCTATCACTGATGTTTTGGATATTATGAAAATTGCTTTAAATCTTGTTTGTATTGTTTGGTATATGTTTAAGGGCCACACCCACTTTCCTGGAAAAGAACGGGTGGGGTGTAGTGTATTTTAACTATCACTAAATTATTCAAATATATGTTGTTTATGAGGTAGCATTTGAACATGCTAAACTGCCACACCCACAAACTGGTACTATATATATTGCTGTAGTTATAATATGCTTGAGCTCAGAACATTGCTGTCATATATTTGGTATATGACTGTTGCATTGCTATAGAAAGTAATTGAAAATACATAAATTTCATAATTAGTTATTAGTTACTGATGAGTAAAATTTATGAATATTAAAAACTAGTAGTTCAGTAGGGATGTCACTATTATTAAATTTTTGTCTATGGTAAATATAAAAAAGCATACAAGGGCAATTCTTTGTCATGTACCTGTCTGGAGTTACATGCAAAATGCATCTTTGTTACTATGTGTGCTGCCAACAGAATGAACTTTTGCTATAAAATATTCCCACAAGGGAAATATTCACATCAATCAATTTACAAGTAAATTGGTTCAGGGGTTTTTCTAGAAAAAAACTGCAAGAGGGAGCACTGCAATTCTATGGCTTCCTTGGGGCCAAAATTACTATCAGTCAGGTCTCAGTTGAAGACTCTGGCCACATGTGATTCCTGGTCATTCAGAATCCTATGGTTGCCAGAGAATCTGCTGCCTAGGGTAAAGGGGCGCATGACCATGGCATGAGGGCACTGCGCCCCTGTTCCCATGTTTGAAAAAATCCCTGGTGGTTAATCAGGTCAAAATTGTATCCTGTTGCAATAATGCAACGTGCAAGGGTTCTATTTGCTTATTTTGGAATTCATCAAATATTCACATCCGTTATACTGTAAACAGACAGTTGATTTATTCGTTGTTATTTCTGACAAAATGTTGACTCGTAGAAAATCAATGCATTCATTATTCATTTATTGATTTTTTAGCTCCGCTGTCGACTTTGTTGAGCAGAGCTTATCGTATGAGTGATTGTCCGTCCTCGTCCTCGTCCATGTCAATGTTTTACTTTTTCGATTTCTTGAAAACTACAAGCTTGAATGCTTTGATACTTGGTGTATATGTACCTTGGGTAGACCTCTCTTAGATTTGTTCATTTCATGATGATATCTTCAATTCTCTAGTTTTGGTGAATATTTTTGTCATTTTTGGTAAAAAGTGATATTTTCCACTTCTTGTTGAAAACCGCAAGTCTGATTGTTTTGATACTATACATATTGTTCATTTTCTAATGATATCTTCTGTTCTTTAATTGAAATGTGCATTGCTAACAGCGGAGCTATCTCAGCCGACAGGCTGCTTGTTTTTTTACCAAACTCTGTTCAAGTATTAAATTGTGTGAAATATATTGTTGATCATTTGCATATGTTTCAAACACAGTTTTATATGCGACTGAAAAGTAAAAAATAATCTAAATTGTAGACAGAGACAACAACAAAAATTGTTGTGGTTCCTATACTTTTCAAAAATAGTCAAAAATAAAATCCCATCCAATGTCTGGTACAATTTTGTGATGCATTTTCAAAGTCAGGCTGTAAAAATAGGGTACATAGAAGGGAACCACACAATTTTTATTCTTGGCTTGATTAACACTACTGATATTATGTATATGTACAAAGTGTCAATAACTGGATCTGCATTTTAACAATGAAGTGTCATTGTCTGAAAATTATATATGGTTTCTTATAATATGGTAATGAATGCCATGTTCTTTTTATACAGATGTCATCTGTGATGCAATAGCAGGGAATTTATCAGATAGATATGATTCAGAGGACCTTAAAGAACCTATTCTTGATGTAAGTAAATTTAATCTTTCTAATTCGTCACTACGACTGAAGTGCTTCAATTCTTGGATCGGGGTTAGCCCGTTACAGCACAGAATGTTCTATGTTGCTAAGACGAGCACCACTGTACCATGTATTTCTATGGGCTCTGTGTAAGCTGGTGTAGAACACCTGTCGAAAAGCTGGTGAAAACAGCTAAAGCCTAGGAAATGGCACAAACTTAACTTTGAGGCAATCTGGAACAACCAAATTAATATATGTTGCACATGTAGGGGTAATCTTGTTACACTGTTCAGGAGAGTTTCAACAACTATCCCAAAGTACATTTTTCTGAGAGTTTTTGGCCTTTATTTTCACAGTGATGGTTGCCAGGCAGTGAATACTGTAAAAGGGTTAATTATTCACTGGGTTTTAATTTTGCTTATTTTGCTGACTGTGATTTTAAAACCCAGTGAATATGCTTGAAATGGTAAATCAGCATAATTTAAACCCAGTGAATATGTAAAATTTAGCATA